GGTTCACGCGCCACCTGCGCTGCACCCGCCACACCTTTCTGTGCATCGCCGACAACACTGTGTTATTGACCAATCAGCATGCATCTTAGTCTAATGATTTATGTCCAATCAATCATGGTCATAGAATGGGATGAAATATTTTGTCACCCCATTTTTCGTTTTTTTCCAATTCTACTTGGAACAGGCTCTTATAAACTACCAACTTGTTTCTCAAAATTTCAGCAAATTGAGACGTAGAATCGACAGATCTCAATGTGGTGAAGAGATTCAACGTCTCAGAACCAAATTTGGTGACGAATTGGTCCAGAAATAGATATTTAATCTAGCGGTATTTTACATGGGCACTTGGATATTTGGCCATAGGGGTGGCCGCTGAGATGTATCTTGATTTTTGTATGTGACTATTATCCGTGTATAATATCCGGAGGCAGTTGTCTCCCACTGCAATGATAAAACGCATGAAATCGGTATTTAACGTATTTGGGATTTGGGTTGAACTAAATTAATTGTACGTTAAATAATAAAATCCTCAACTCTTCATCCAGTAGGAAGTTTTTAGTTGACGTGCACCATACCATTCCTCGCAAAGCTATGCTCGGCGACGCTTCATCTACCGTCGTACTGGTTTATACCACTGTCAAAGAATTCGCATTTACGAGCGTTGCGTGAGATGCTCCTGTGTCACCTGGTAGAGCAACACCATCGTTGCTCCCCTTGCAACCTGCGTGTTCAATCATGCGAGAAGTCATAAGATCAACATGAATAATAAAATGTTTGGTGAAGTATGTAGGTCATATATCTTGAAATTTGTATTCACGAGTACTAGTATGATGCAAGATAAGATTATTTTGTCTATTCGCACTTTGACTTTGATGCCAATTGTACTTATTTGAGAATAATTCCATCGTTAAAACAGTTCCACTGTTGTTTTTATTGAAAGGGAAGGGGAAAGCACTTTGGATACTTGCTGTGCACCGCATCACGTGATGTCTCAACGGCCAAAGGGCCCCATACGTCGGTATAAACAATTTCCAAAGTCGATTGCGCTCGATATAACGCAGCGGCAGGGAACTTAGTACCTGGCGTAACGTAGATTTCCAATTTAAGAGACATATTTTGGAGTCGCTGCCGGGAAATGGAAGCAGCTTGGCACTGAGGAATGGGTTTCGACTTCTGAAAACTGATAATTGAACAGGAAACCCAGGTATTTCCAACAAGCACTGAAACATCTATTTTCATAGTATCTATCATGTCCTAATGTCCCATTTTCTAAGCAGAAACACCTCAAAAGTAGACGACAATTTAAGAGTCATATTTTAAGCTTGATCGTAGTATTGATCCATGCATATATTTTTCGTGGTTAGGGTGTAATATTCTGTCACGTACATATGCAACTTCAACAGGTTATGTATTTATAGAGCCAATTGGTTAATTGATTTATATAAAACACATGGGATCATGAAGAACATTTATTTAAAGAGGTATTTCTACACAAATTTCAAGGTGGGTGATTGGCTGAATCCGATGTCCCTTAAATTGTCCCATGTCTCTTAAATTGGAAATCTACGTTATGCACACGACTCGCACATAATGTCCGTTAAGTTTCGTTTCGCAAAAGCAGAAAATTCGGGATTGCTTTTGATGATTTGGGTGAGCACGCCGCTGCTAGGGTGGCCTAGACGGCGGTGCCAAAGTCGAGCCAAGTCGGGGTTGTTTAGACGTGGTTATCAGCAACCAGACTAAAAACTATTTTGACGAAAGGATTATCGAATATAGCGCGACGGCTAGTATTGTTGAGGTCTTGTACGATGCGGATGTGACTGAATGAAATTCCTGTCCACATGGGCAAAAATGTCGACGAGGCAACACGCGAAATATAATGAACAACCAAACACATTCAATGCCGCATGGATGTTGTGCTCTGGCTCAAAGTTGATCTCAAAACCCTTGGCCTAGGAAAAGGTGAATCCAACGTCGTGTTCGATGCCTTGGCGAACTGAAAGCAGGTTGAACTGGAGAGTTGGGCAAAACAACACCAGGCGGAGGAGGAATGGGCGGCAGGGGCTTGAATCAATAGCAACAGATATCAAAATTGCTTCATAGCCGTCCACGGAAAATTGGCCGTTACTGCCAACCCTGAGGTTGCAAGGCATGATGGCACCACAAAACCAATCGGCGATGCGGGGGATCACGGAGCACGATGCACCGGAGTCAACAATCTACTCATCCTGTGGCATAGCACGAGAAGGTAGAATTGTCTTCGTCTGGGGGGGTACGTGGCGTGCTGACCGCCAAGCCAAACAACTTGGTACCATCATTTTAGGGGCGAACCGAAATGGTGAGAGACATGAACTCGACGCCAGCAGTGTTCACGCGTATTGCGAGGTCATCAAAGTACTTCGACGGAGGCGGGGTAGGGGCCGGCTTGAGGAACGAGGTTTGTGGGGTGTTGGAAGGTGCAGTAGCCACCACGGCGCACGTGTCAGTGTCGTCAGTAACAAACTCGACCGACTTCCCTGGTGGTGGTAACTTGGGGACAGGGTTGATCGGGAAAGTAGACGAACGATCACTGTCAGTCACGTCGCCAATCAATGCAGTAGCAGTCCGATGCAGTGGAAGGACGCGTCATGGATTCTAACTAGTGTCCTTTGTAGCGGTGCGGGCACGCGCATGCATTGCACTTGCCTCATCGTAGGCAGCGTAGGCCTCCTGACGGAGAGCGCGGGCCGCTGCACCAGGGCTGGAACCGCGCGTGGGTTGGTCGTGCTGGCGGTCTTGCGAGAGTCTTGGATATCGACCGTTGCCTTGCGATTGCCCAGGGCTAACATCGCGACTCTGGCCTTGGGAGCGCCCACGGCCGCCATCACCATATTGCTTGCCGTGCGAGTGCCCACGGCCGCCGTCGCGAGCGTTGTGATGACTGGATCAACGAGGGTAGTCGTCAGGATCGTCGTCGTGATCGTCGCGGTGGTAGCGTTGTGCTTTGCCGAAGAATGAGAGTCGAAGTCATCATCCTGGCGTAGACGCTTTGCTTGTTGTTTGCGATGATAGATCTTCTTCTCAAGGTTGTTCCAAATGTTCTCTAAGATGCTAACCCCCTGACGAACCGTGCCAAGCTCCATGTCGGACAACAACATGTTGCAATTGCGTAGTATGCACTCTGGATTGCCACACTACCAGCAGACAACGACTTTGAACGCATTGGGATGCGCCCACTGTGGTGGTTGGTGAACGTGTCGCTGAATGGGGGCTGGTAACATAATCGGCCCAGGTACCCGACTCGGCGGGGGCTTGGCTGGTAGACGGCAGGTTGGTACGAAAAGGAGTATGGCGGTTGTGGGACTCCATCACCAACCATTCCGTAGTAGGGAGAAGCGCCAGCTGGGTAAAATTGAGACTGGTCACTGGTCGGCTGCACCGCACCAAGTGCATCGGTTTGGGTTTTCGTAACCAGCGTATCATCACGACCACTCATGGCTAATTCGACCTTGCTCTGGTCGATCATGTCAATGATCGCGACTTTGATTTCTTGTCGTTCTTGCCAGACATCAGGTCACAGATTTTCGACCACAAGACATGATCGTCGAAGAACATGAACGACATGTACGCGGTGTGGAGACGACCCCACATGAATAGATTCACCTCTTCGGCTGATATCGACGATGCGTCTGGGGGTGCCAACGATTTCTTGAGTCAGTTGAAGAAGCCTTAGGTCTTTGACATTCTCGCCAGGCATGTAGCGCTGGGATTGGATAATCGAGTTAATGTACTGTAGTATGATTGTCCATTCGCTTCTGCCGAATCGAACGTTTCAATGAGGATCTTCCACGCCAATACGGCGACATCAACTTCCTGATGTCGGAACACGTTGCCTCGTTGACTGCAAATGACAGAAACGCCATGGCTAAGCGGTGGGTCTCGCCGAAGAACTGCGGCGCAAACTTATCGCGATGATGACGTAGGCGCTCGGCGCGGTAGTCTTGAACTTCTATACTCCGGCGATCCACGTCAGCGTCAATTATCCGAACAGCCATGACCACCTCAATCTCGGCCAATACTGGTCTAAATTCTCTCATTCTTTGCCTGGCCCCACCGCTGAGTGATGTACTCAGAGGTGGGGCCAGTACCGTACATATTGGTTCGAATTCGAAACTTCGAGGGCTCCATTTCTTGTTCGTACTCGACGGCGGGGCGAGCGTTTTAGTTCAACTCGTTCGCGCGAACGACGTCGATATAGTCTTCCTTGGTGAAGTAGCCCCACAGCTGATATCGGGTCGTCTGACCCGCGAAATCGCTTTTCCATCGTTGGAAGTAGGCAACGTCACGCAAGACTTCGCCAACAAACGTTTAGTGCTTAAGTGAGGGGCAGAAGCCAGACCACTTGTGACGTGGTCGGCTCTGATTGCCTCAATCCTCCTGGGGGGGAAACCTGCTAACAGCAGGACAAAAGCCTCTTTTGTTGTTTTTCCCACAGACATTGATCAATCGTGCTCTTCTGGAATACACCATTCCTGGACAGGACCCGAAATACTGTTTCAATGATGGAATTATTACATCCGGATACACCTTTTCTCCAGTAGACCTGTAACCTGGGACTCCGTCCTACCCCCGGTGAGTAAATAAATACGATGCTATTAAGAGCTAAGCATACAAAGTCCTTATATATCTCATTGAAACAGTATTTCGGGTCAAAACTACAATGTACCTGTTTTAATGAGGGAATTGTACACTTATTTGACCTAGTTGGAATGCTAAACTCAAACTCTTGGTGTCTTCGAAAGAGCCAAAATATTGTGGATTCGGTAAAGATTTCCAGAACCCGTCTGAATCGAATCTCGCCGCCGAATCGAATCACGAATCGACGCTATTGGCTAATCCAATTTTGAGTGGATTTGATTGGCTCTTACAGAAAGGACAAGTATAGTCAGCCAATCAGAACTCCAGCGCGATTCAATATTCATTAGACAAACCACGCGAATTTTGGAAGTTCATAGCGAATTCACTATATTAATACTGTAAGCGCTACTATACAGTAATAGTATTGGAGATCCGATATGAATTTCCAGGCCGACAGAACCAGGCATCAATCTCTCTCATTGGTCAATCCGAAATTACTTGTCGCTGATTGGCTATAAAATCAGCTTGGATTTATACCGGAAAGGGCGAAGTGGATATTAGCCAATCAGATGTCTCGGCTCTAGGTGTCTCGGCTCCATATACTAGTAGAAAATAGAAGAAAATCGACATATCGACATAGCGTTGCTCGAAATGAATTCGTGCTTCCAACGTTATTAATGGACACTTGACCAAGATATTACACAAGACAGGTTTTTCTCTTATGCTGGCAAGCGTCGTTTAAAAATGGCGTGCACTTCTTCGGCAATGTCGTCGATCGCAGCTTGTGCGGCAGGGACGAGGTCGGGGTAGATGAGGAAGCCGTGAGTCAGACCCGTGAGCACCTTCAACGACGACTCCACTTGGAGGTTGTTGAGGCGCGTGTAGAAGTCGACGCTGTCATCCAGGAGCGGGTCCATGTCTCCGACCAAGAGCGCGGTGGGGGGGAACTGCCGAAGGAGGGCATCGTCCGCGAGCCCCACAGCCACGAGCGGATCGTACGTGTTGTTCTTGTACTGGTCGCCGTTGAACGGGTAGTACGAATTCAGCGCCAGCTCCAAAATGCCCCTGGGCAGCACCGGGTCGCTTTGGTGGAGGAACCGCGACGGCGACGGCGAAAAGTTGCACGTGAGCGCTGGGTGCACCAGCACCAACCCGTCCGGCAAGGCGATTCTCTCTTGGATGCTCTTCAAGCACACCGCGGCCGCCAAATTGCCGCCTAAACCCATAATCATCCCACGGTGAATGCAATCGTGTCACGTACCCGCGCTTTCCCCAAACATGGCGACCGACGACGGATGGAACCCCAGCCCGCCTTGAAGCACCCACTTGTACACTATGAAGCACTGATTCAAGGGGACGGGGTACTGCGCTTCCGGCGTCCGCGTGTAGTCGACGTACACGATCACCGCGCCCAAGTGGACCGCCCATGCACTGAGGTTGACGATGTCTTTGGCCCAAAAACGGCCGAAGAAGCCGCCGCCGTGGATGTAAAACAGCACCGGCGCCGACGTGGGCAGGCCGATCGCGTCCATTTTTGCCGAGCACGGCACCGACGCGTGTTCCCACGAACCTTGCTTGACGCTGGCGACTGGGCGGCAGCTAAAGATCCGCACGCCAATGTCCGTGGGCTGTCGTCTGTACGACCCCGCCGCCGCCCCACCCTCGTCGACAAAGATTTCGGTCCGGACGGGGAGCGACGGCGACCTCAGCTCGGCCACCTTGACGGCAAGCCACGACTCCCCAAACAGATTCCACGCCATGCGAATGACAACAATGTCCGGGTTGTCCATGCACACTCGCGTGGCGAGTGCCGCCGCCTTGCGGTGCCGGATCGCGTAGTACGGCAGCAGCGCCGCGAGGAGGTACGGGCCTACGGTGGGGTACCACCGGGCCCCGAGGAGCCACTGGGCCGTGGCACTGGACGCACACATGACGTGCCCGCCTGCCTTGAACATCTTCATCCCCACAGGCTCATGCGATGCGTCGTAGTACTCGGCGGGGAGCGGCACCCTCTCCACCAGGAGCGACGTGGCGGACTTGAGGTCGTCATTGATGTCTGCCTCGACGGGGGAGTCGATGAGCAGTCGTCTGGACGCTGAGCGAGCGAGCCGCGTGCGATCCAACACGTGCTCGCACAGGAGAAATAGGCGCAACGTCAGCGACACCCGCGCATGATGGACTTTGATCTGTCGTAACTTGGAAAAGCTACGAAATGGACGAGTGAACACGATCGAGACAGACACACATATCATACCGATACGAAAACCGCCACAGGTAGTCGTAACAGACCAAGATGAAGATGGAGTATTGGATTTGCTTGACGGATGGCCGAAAGAGGCTGAAGATGGCGCGAAACGACAGGTGGTTGGCGAACCGTTTGTGCGTGACAAAGGCCGCCAGCGCCAAGAGCGTGAACGGCGTGAACGACCACCGGTTTTCCCAGAAAGGGTCGTAGTTTTGGGACAGACTGAGCAGCACCTGCTTGGTATCGGTCATGGACACGATCACCTGGCGGAGCAGCGACGCGACGCCGCCCGCTAGGATCGTGTGACGCCTCACCGTGGGAATCAACGGGATGATGTCCTTCAGTGCTTGTTTGTGGCGATAGTCGATCTGAGGGTCGCGAATGATCTCGTCCTTGATGAAGCTGAACAGCACGCGCTCAAAACACCCCACGGTCAACGACAAGTGCCGCAATTCACGCCCCACGCGGCTATACGTGTGATCTTTGATGATACGACGAAGCACCTGCGCATGAGGTTACGAGGACGACCTCGATTTGTTTGATGTAATGCCGTACCTGAATGGTGGACAATATCGCCGTGGACGTCTGCACGAGGAGCTCCACGTCGTCGCCGTGGCCGCTTGTAACGCTCGTGCCTGCTGCGTTATGAAGGGTCGTGTTCGTCTGCACGATTTGACCCATCAGTAACACTGTGCTCTTGGACTTGCTCATGGAGCTTGGTTCTTCGTTCGCAGGCATGTTAACGGCGGAGAAGGCGCCTAGCACAAGAAGCGCAAATCTTCCGAGAAACAGTGCCCAACTTGTGATTCGTCAACGTCGACCAAATACGCACTTTAACGGATAAAACCCTTCTAAGTGCGAACTAGCTTCAACTTGCGCCTGTCGCGTGGTTGCAACCTGTACGTGGCAACATGCAAGGAGACATGGATGCCCGTGGAACGTGGCGGCGAGATTGTGCTACCCGAACAGCGAAAGGCTGGGTGTGCTTATCCATGTTTGTGTGATTGTATAGAGGTGACAAAGAAAAGCCTGGTCGCGCTTTCGAGTGCCGCTGTGACACTGTGCTGTCATTCACGCACCAGTACATGTAGTCGGGTGTACTAACTACTACTAACTACTACTACTAGTATGTAGTATTAACTGTTAGTACGTGCAGTTCTATGAGGAACTAACTATGTATCATTCTCGTTCGTTGGTTGAATCGCTTCAGCGATGTTCATATAACAAAGTCAACACCACGTAGTTATTTCTTCGACTTGCCGCCGCCTTTCTTCTTTCTGCCTGGGGCGGGGGCTGCCTTCTTGTCCTCCAAATCCCATTCGTCCATCAACTGACGAGCTGCTTCGGCGGCGGCAGTCTCTTGCTTCGTGGACGACTCAAAGAGCGAGATCTTCTTCGTGATGTGCACGGCCAAGTCGTTCGGAATGGGAAACGACAGGTGGTACTGGGCTACAAGCCATGTTCGCTTGTCACTGTCGAACACAAGGGAGCCAGACCCGCGCGACGTCGCCACGAATTGCTGGCTTTCCACGAGCTCGTCGAACGCGCAAAACGACGGGGTCGATTCGTTGGGGTAATACGTGACCTTCCGAGAACCCCTGATGGGACGGAATATCCACCCTTCGCCAGCTTTGAAATGGGGCAAACTCCAGTCGAAGAACGCGTTCACGTGCCAGTTCTCCGTGGCGTCGGTACCGAGAAATCGCCCGTCGGGATGAAAGCATCCAAAGTACTGCTGGAGATTGGCTTCAGCGGCTCCTTGATGGAACGCATCCAGGAGTGCGTCGACGTTGGTGTATACACCCTTGCCAATGCATGCTCCTTTCGACATGATGAAATCGTCGGCAAATGGCTGGCGCAATCCTCAAGTACATTTACCGTACTGCAAAAGTATCACTCTAGTTATATCATTTACTTCAATTTGAGCACAACATTTCTAGAAAAGTCAATATTTATATCCAATCAATGTGCGAGTTAAGAAATGAATGAATTTAATTGGCTGTAAAATATCAATACCAGTATTTTTGGTTAAGAAAACGTCAATATTTCAAGCATGTCAGCTGAATGTGTCGCCCCCGTTTTTTTGCTCCAGCGATTGGCCCATTTTGGTGACTTCAAAGCCGCCTCGACCATGAGCAAGGAAGGAACGACAGACGCGACGGCAATCGCCGTGGGTACTATTGCAGCAGTGTTGTTGGTCTTCTTCATCATCCGCTCCAGGAGCACTGGCGCCTTGAACGCCCTGAAGGAACCCGCGGCGAAACCAGAGTACTTGACGCGCGAATTGAAGGCGTACACGCGAGCTGAAGTTGCCAAGCACAACACGGAAAAGGACGCGTGGATCATAGTCAAGAACAAGGTGTACAACATAACAGAATACGTGGAGGACCACCCTGGCGGGATGACCATTCTCAACGACGTCGGAGGGGACGCGACGGTGGTACGATGAACATTGGCACCAGTGTTAAGTCATGACGGTGGACTTGTCATACTTTGTAGGGTTTCTATGGCCCCCAGCACCCCCCTACAGTAGCAGAACACATCGAAGAGTATCGTATTGGAGACTTGTCCGACTAGACGACGTTCATCCGAGCTACTGCAAGTGGACGATGCCTACTTTGTGCGTGCTGTGAGCAACGGTGTTGCGATGTGGGGTCTACCTGTTGTAATATGAGGTCAACGAAGTTGTTTCAATTGACTGTGAAATGACACATTCCCGACGACAGTTGAACATGGTAATGCAATCAATCATCGACCAAGCTACTGCCGTAGTTTGCCTACTTGAATATGGCGTCAGCTCAACCAGTCCGCAGACGCAGCCTGCTACTGTAGATGAAGCTCCTTCGACTCTGATGCGCAGCTTTACAGTTAGTCTGCTCACCATACATTCGCCATCCTATGAATAGCTGTTAGTCCGCTCGCCATACATTCGCCATCCTATGCATACAGACAGTACTGTAGCTGTCGCCCTGTTCAACATGTTCAAAATGCCCGCCTGTTGAATTATTAATTTCCACAGGTTTCCTAGCTGTTGCTGCTTGACATGATGCAGCAAGGATCTCCGTTGGCGCCCACAATGCATGAGACTCAACTCCAGTGCACGGCGTGGGCTCAGATCGCGTTGATGGACACCAAGCCATGGTGGCCTGTTTACATAGCTGATCCAAATGTCTTGACGACGGATGAGTTGCTCTCGTTGGGTACGACGACGATGATGATGAGTGGGATGTGACCGATGTCATTGCTGGCGTAGGTGGCGCACCACTCGTGGACACTGCCAAGTCGACAACGCCCAGCGACGTCGTCGTGTTTTACTTCGGTCTTCGTACATGGTGCGTCTCCATTTTTGTGCATCCACGGTACCACTCACCATCCACAGGCACCTGCGAGAGCGCGACGACGCCACTCTTCAACGGTGGCAGTGCCGGGACCACTGGCAGTTTCTCCAAGGCGCTCCATCCGCAGCCATGGACGTGTCGAGCGTATGGGAAAACTTTGTCGAAGCCATGGACGACGTCGAGGTCTGTACATGCATCTCGGCGACGACACGGTCACATGTTGAATAGAACTACCTCTCGGTCGATCAAAGCCAACGCACGTTACCACGTTCAGCGGAGGCTGCTGCTCCCCCTCTTCCTTCTCCATCTACGCCAACGCATGATACGCACCATGGTTCGCCACAGCAGCCCGCAGGTGGGCACTTCAGTCTGCATCCCGTCCTAGACTCAATCAGGTCTCCAGAATGCCCCAACACTGTCCCAAGGCCATTGGCCACATTTGGAACCGTCGCATGGTCCAAACTGGCGGGGCGTCCTTGGCTGCCAGTGTTTGTTGTAGATCCGGCCAATATTCCTCTCGAACTTCGACCTTTGAGTACGTACTCGATCGCTTCAGCATCACTCACCCCTTCACGACCGTTGTAGGCGAATTCCAGTCTCAGGTAGTCGACAACGCAACGTGCAACTCGCTGGACCATCGCTTGGTGTATTACTTTGGCTACCACAACCTGTACGACAATATTTGCTTGTGGCGTCCTCATTGAACGCTGGCGCGATGGTGTGTAGTGGGTTGATACCTGTGCATGCCCTCAGGGCGTGGAAGGGCCCTGAACATGCCGAGTTTCTCGCTGGATGCCGCCCTACGCAAGTGTCCACGGTGCAATCGGCGGCTACCGTTGTGGCGACTGCAGAGGCCGAGGTTGGTTGATGCTCTCAAGGGGCACATTCCTTATGCATATATATACCTGGTTGTAGGAATTCCTTCGGTCAAACCCAAACACGAGACAGTTGCCGCTTCCTTGTTCCTGGAGCAACCAGTCAACCGACGGGAGTGCAACTCCCATCCTTGACGCTACCGTCAAGTCCGACATCCCATCGGAGCATGGCTCTGCACCGCCAGGCGATACCGCGACGAACGATGCGAATGCCGTAGAGGAGCAGCCTTCTACATCTCCAACATTGACCGCCCCCTTTGCCGCGGGGTCAGTGGTGTGGACGTTCACCACTGGAGAAGGCTGGATCCCAGCGATTGTGTGCGACCCGGCTCAAGTGCAAACTGCCTTACCAAACTTGACCGGTTGGTACAAGACACTCCTGCGCAAAGCCATGGACCATCCGGCAGACTACGTCGTCGTATACTTGTTTGGGCCTCGTACGCTGTACGATCTCGTTTATTTACTGTTTGTTTCCTTATAAATCATCCTCATTCAACGTCTAGTGGCCTCCGCAACACCCACGACGACGTGGTGAAGTGCTGGGAGTGCCCAGAACACGTCACGTATGTACAGGGTGACGCTAGTCTCGATTTTTCCAACCAACGACAGGCATCGTTTCGACAAGCCATCGAGACTGCAAAGGTAAAGCGAAGACGCCCCCATGTTGCATTGACTTATAAGGTGCGATTGGTTAGACGGTTGCCGCAGGAGACGCCAGCGCCACCTTGTCGTTCATTCAAATATGTGACAAGGACGATGAGACTAGCGAAAAGGCGGCGACTACAGAGACGTCTCGGCCCCTTGTAGGAAACGACACCATTCCGCCTCCCACCGGCCCATCAGATCCGCCGACTAAGGCTACCTACCCCCCGGACGTGACGCTGAAGTGTCACCAACCCGCTTCGCCTCCCGATCACCTCAAAAAGCCACGCCCGAACGATGCGATTACCGCTGTAGATGACGTTATCGACTTGTCCGAGGAAGCATCATCCAACGACCCCAGTTTTCTCCAGAAGAGCAAGTTCGTGCCAAGCGCCTCCTTGTCGTGTTCAGCCAAGGCGCGTCGAGTGCACGCCGGCGACGACGGTGCGCATGCTGGTCTTGTATCCGACAACCACCAACATGTACACCTGCGACACTGGCTAGGAGGAATTCCGTTCCGATCGCTGGCGTGGGTGCGGAGCCGCACGGGCTACATGTGGTGGCCAGCGTACATTTGTGACCCGGATGACACCCCCCACCAACTCCATTCGATGGGTAGTTAGTGCCTATCTATAACGACCGAGCTAGCTTCGATGTCTCATATTGTTGTTTTCGCTAGGGTATTGCCTGTTGTACAGCGTAGCCAAAGCCAAACAATACAGAACCGCGCTGCGCCTGGTGCTTAGTTTTGGCCGACACACCATGTAACCATATGCAAATCGATGATGGCTTGCATGTGGTATTATTCACAAATGAACTTTGGTAGCTCTCTGCATGAAGTTGCGACCGACCTCAAACGATGGGAGTGCCCCGAGCACGACGCGCTGTGCCGCGTTCACGAGAATCCTCCTCCCCAACAAATCATCGCGGCGAAGTTGTTTGCCGCGGCGCTAAAAGAAGCCTTGGTCCGAAATCTCGAAAAATGCTGGATGATCATTCACGTGTCAACCTGGCAGGACTGGGCGGCAAGTACGAGAGCGCCGACGGCAACGCCGTTCATGCTACTAAACGCGATCAAGTCGGCAATGTCGAGGCCCCCCACGACCGTTGGCTACGGGGCCAAAGCATGGGCGATGACGGCGTCGTCCATATGGTTTCCTGCGTGTGTATTGCATCCATTGAAGTTGCCCCCCGAGCTCAAAGACTGGGGTACGTTCATACGCGATATATGTCAACATCACGAGAAAGGATGGATAGAACGGACGCACGGGGACTTGGTTGTGTTGGTCAAGACGCACCCGTGTGAGAATCGACTGGTCTACGTCTTTGGCCTTCACGAGCTGTAATCGTTGTGTGTTTCTTCATTGTATACAAGGAAATGATTGTGTTATGTGTTGCTGTTTCGTTAGAGGCGTTCGGAACGTCAAGACCGAATTGGTGTCGTGGCAGGGCGACAACCCCAACCTGGCCAAGGGCCGCAAAGACGTGGCGTTTTCCAAAACGTATGTCGACGTGGGCCATCAACTCACTCGTGCCCAACTTGAAATGAACGTACGAAACGTTTGCTTGCTATATGCATGTTTGATGAGAGGGGTATGATCTAGGCGTACTTTGGCACTGACGAAGCGACCCGCCGGTTGCCCATGCTTGGCTCCGTAGCCGTCCCCGCCCAGCCCATGCAGCCAGTCGCGACGAGTACTGGTAATAAATGTGCCGAGAAAAGGGGTGGCTTCATACATGTATGTGTTGGGGGAATCATGGAGTCGATATGTAGATGTGGTGGTAGTGCCGTGGAATTCGCTGGGATGGGTGAAGATATACCTTTCGTGGTGGCCAGTGTACGTATGCGATCCGACTTGCGTTCGCCCTACATTGCACATTCTCGGTACATACACATGGACGTTTATAGTGTCCAAAATTGAAATGGGTTTGTAGGTGCTGTGGATATGCAAATGCTGCGACATGCCACTGCCACCCCCGACAAGTGTCGACTGGTCTACTATTTCGGCCTCTATACATTGTACACATTCAATGACGACTGTGTGCACGGCGTTCTTAGCGTGTCATAGGGGACTAGCAACGACCAAGTCGGTTAAACGATGGAACTGCCCCGACCAAGACGCATTAGCGAACCGAATGCTGGAGGTTCAAGATGGGCAAACCAGCACCAGAGCGTTGCAGGAAGCCAATGTAATGCCTTCATGTAGCAGCATTCTATCGTTAAAGCATGGGTAGGAGTATGCTGGGGCTGACAAGGCCACTCGGCTGCTGCCGTATATGGTGGCGTCCGACTTGAACCCGCTAGAAGACCCGCCTCCTCTTTCGCTGGTGTGGCACTTCCGCTTGGATTCTGTCTGGGCTCCTGGCCTAGTGTACGACCCAAAGCAGCCGTGGCCTCAGGCATTTGGTACACATGTCTCTATGTGCTACCTCCCATGTTGACCAGACTGCAGGACGCCCGCCAGACAACATGCTAGCTGCGCTCAAGTCGGTTCGAAACCCGTACCATGTTGTGTTCAATTTTGGCTACCGAGACTAGTAAGTCGAGCCATGAATGACTCGGATGAGAAAACTCGCGTGTAGTTCTATGGTCAGAGCTCATGCCAAGTGCATTGTGCCGTATCGTTGCCCCATGCACGCCAAGTTTGTGGCTGCGATTTCGTCGTTAGAAAACGAGGACGTCCGATCTAAACTGCTGGCTGCGCTGCAAGAAGTCGAGGTCACGTTGTTTTTGATTTTTCAATGGGTGGTGCTCATCTGTCCTGTAGGCGTTTACGGCAATGGATTCACCAGTTCCAGGCGCTATGGACAGTCCACCGCCTTCGTTGCATGTCGAGAGCCCATCGGGCGTTCCCAATCCCGCTACAAATAATACCCTTCCCGACCAGGTCACAGCACCTTCGTACCCCATCCGTACATCATCTGCTATCGAGCCAGCCATGACCCTACTTGTTGAAGCCCCTGTACCGCATGCATTTGCTGTTAATGACACACTTTCGACTGTCCATGCTGCTCAACGGGTTGAGGAAGCGGAGGACCAGTCGACGATTCGTACGAGCGACGACGACGGGCGACCTACAAAAAGCGATGCCATTGGTCAGGATGACGACGGAGCTGCCGAACCGTCCCACTCGCAGTACGATTTGGTGGATTGCATCGGATGGGCCCGGGCACCGAAGCTGCCGTGGTGGCCAGTGTATATTTGCGACCCAGACCATATTCCCGAAGACCTCAAGTTGCTGGGTACGATCATTCCCCACGAACTCTCAACGTGATATCAAGTGGCGAGTCTGGTTTTCGTAGCGCCCAGCCAGCAACTGTACCAGCCTCAGTGGGCGACCCGCAAAGACCCGGCTAAGCGTCGCCTTGTGTTTTATTTTGGACGCAACATCTTGTAACTGTCCATGTGGTAGTCGAATCGAAGCTGTGACAGTCTGATTGTGTCTGGTGTAGCGGCTCCGCTCTACGGTGTCAAGTCATGCCGTGGGAGTACTCGGCAAATGACGCCGTGTTGGGACACATGTCGTTCGAAACAGAGCAAAACCTCCATGGGGCCGTCGTCCTTGCTCAAGTAAAACACTCTATGTGAAAGACATCGTCTAGGAACACTGTCATGTAGAACTACGCAGCCAAGCACCATGGACGCACCCGTGAAGGTGCTGCACAGGGGCCACACGATGCTGCCACACACAACAACCAGCAGCCCCCCGCCCCACAAAAAAGGATCCAAGCAACGTCACCAGCAGCACATGCTTCGACGACGGACGCTCCACCTGCAATTGCCGCTGCTGCCGAAGCACCCCCGCAACATGCTCATGCAGTGACTCTATCGACGCCGATTGCTGATCCCCACGGTTTATTGTCGTATTATGACCACGTAATGTGGATGAATCATCAGCATGTGTGGCGACCCGTGTACGTGGTGAACCCGGACAAGCCACCTTTACACTTCCCGTCCACGGGTACAAGTACCTGAGTTCGAGAGGTGGTTGGTCTCACGATTGGCGTAGATCTGGTTGGCCCCCACAGAACAGTTCTGCCAGTACATCATCAAGATGGGCGCCCGCTGTTGGTCGTGTACTGCTTTGGATTGCACACCGTGTACGGGAAGAATTGTAGTTGATGTACTCACACTAACTAGTCTAGTACTCACACTAACTACTCTAGTACCACTTGCGAAAAGGGCTGGCTTGCGCCTTGGCTTTGTGCAGAGCGACGAGAATTTGTGCGCATTGGAGGTGCCTCCGTCGCGATAGCGCTTCAAGAAGCCAATGTACCAACCTTGTTGACTTACACGAGAAGTCACCTGTTTCCATTTCTAGGATTTCTTGGCGCGCGGAAAAGTCTTTAGGTTGCAACGCAGTACCATGTCGAAACGGCCATCACAACATGGGCTCGTCCACAACATCCCCCCACATGCCGCCGGCACGCATCCGTCCGAGCGGCGGCTCCCCCGACAGCCCCCATCGCCCGTCCTCCCAACAGGGGTCCACCCCCCTGCAGCCCCTCCAACCCCCCCTGCTCCTGTCCTCCGAAGCAAAGTCCCCGCCGTCGACAGCGGCCGTTCCTTCACGCCTCCCTGCCATTCCGTGGCATGGGGCATCCTTCGGGGGTTTCCATGGCTGCCCGTGTACATTCTGGATGCATTGACGTTGAAACCAGATTTGCACCACTTGGGTACACATACACCAAAATGTTGCTTGTTGGAGTGAAACATATATAACATTCCAGGTACTACCGCACGTAGGCGATGGCCACGTGTCCATTTTGGAACAAGCGCGGCAGCATCCGTCGTGGAGAATTGTCTACTACTTTGGAACCCACGACTTGTAGGCGATTGTTATAGTGTCCATGTGGACGAGTTATATTTTATTTATATATTTTCTATTTATGCTAGTGGGATTCACCCAGATCCAAGCGCGACGTTAAAGCCGTGGAATTGCCCCGAAAGCGACAAATTTGCCAACGGGTTCCCAAAGGAAAAGTGTAAAAAGCACCGCATTCGGGTCGAGCTGGAGGTGGCCGTCAAAGAAGCCCGGGTTTGCAATTCTTCTAATCATATCATAGATATCCGTCAAATATATATATATATATATATATATATATATATATTTGATAGACATTTTTATCAAGTCATCTGGACGACCGACTGTTGCCGTACATGGTTCGATCCGACTACTTGGACCTCGCTGCCACCGAAGACGAGGACGCCGACCCGCCGTCTTCCGAGAGGGGTACTTACGTGCAAAGGTGCAATACATTGATATATATATGGACTAGAAGACGTGGATACACACCTGCCTTCGCCAAGTGATGAAGAAGCAAGCGACGATGGCGACGACAGTGAACGTGACGACGAGTATGCAGACACGACTCAAGGCACAAAGAACAACAACAAGCGTGGGTTTCGTACTGTTGGGAAGTCGCGCATTCCAGCGAAACGACGACCAAGTCAACATACGTGGCACAACCTCGTGCGTTTGAAACGACATGCAACGAACCTGTGGACGATTCAAGGGCCACCGTATCGACGACCAACAAGTCGTCAGCGTGCATGCGATACGGAGGCACCACTTGCATGCGATACGGTGGCACCACTTGCAACCATTCCAACTTCGATGAATCACGACGCTGTGTCTGAAGAGACCATCCGACTATTCCAAACGACCCCCCCTCGAAGCTCTATCGCACATACGTTGGCACCCCTAGACTCGACCCCCGAAGCCAACCCCCCTGACCACGTCAAGCCGGCATTGCTGCCTTCGCAACGCGTGGCGTGGGTGCTGCTGCAAGATGCGATTTGGTGGCCTGTGCTGGTTTGCGGGTCGTTCTTCCAGGACGAGAACCCCGATAAGGGCGGACATTTGGTCGAAGCGGTTCACTTGTACTACTTTGGCACCCACACCTAGTAAGAGTTACTACTACTAGTAGTAGATGGTTGCATGACTAACTACGATGGACTAGTGCCGAACACATCTGCGCCAACATTCAACTGGCCGCGTGGAATGGTCCTGACCACGGCACGCTTTTGGAAAACCCAGCGATCGGTGAGCATTTCGTCCAACGGGTGATGGACGATTTCAAACGAAGCATCGCAGAAGCCGAGGTATTTATGGGTTTGAAATACAAGGGTTAACTGGTTACGATGGGTTAGGATTTCTATTGCACGCACAAGACGATGCTGGTAATACATACTGCTACAGTATATCTCGACTTCGAAACAGGATATATCCACGAATATATATATATATACTCATGGATAGGACCGCGATGCACTGTACGCGTCTGTCAAGTCGCTTGCCCCGAGCTCCGATGCAATGTCAAAAGCCAAGTCGAACGCCCCAAACCAGGTCAAGCGAGAAAGCCCGTCGAAGCCGACTAGTCGAGTAGTGCACCGCAATGAACTTGACGACCCCGAATTCGACGCGTTTTTTCGATAAGGAACTAAAATACTCGGTTAATTGCTTAAGCACAGGTAGTATTACTTCGAAGTACCAGTAAGTACATCAGCATTAACTTTAACGTACGTGAAAGTTTACCTTTAAGTTTAACCTTAAAGCGAGTAATAATGATGAAGGGGAAATGCCATTCATTCTTCTCGTACGGTTTAATATTAATATGAACTATTAATACCTGTGAAACACTTCGAAGTACTAATAGTATGGTTAGTAGTACTATTAACACTAAGATACTATTAGTATGATTTTTAGTGGCATACTAGCGGAGATACTACAACGAGTTCGATCCTGTCACAACCAATGCACGCCGGCAAAGTATTAAATGTCAAAGAAATCTGAAAGTCACGGCAGTTGGACGCCGGCAGCGATGGCTGAAGACGCGCAGATCCCGTACAATTGCGTGGCGTGGACACTGCTGGAAGGGTACCCGTGGTCGCCAGTGTATGTGTTCGACCCGAACCAAGTGCGCGAGAACTTGGAGCTGCTGGGTACAACTTTCACCTGCGATAACCCACATCTAATGCGAATATCGGTAGGTAACTCGCATCAGCATCACTTGAAGAAGGCGAGAGACTGGCCGAACGTGTATCGCTTGGTGTACAACTTTGGCTACCACAACATGTAAGTGATCACGACACACGTTGTCGGCGACTAATCATCTTGACATGTCCAGCTCGCTTTTGTCGCTTGGACAGTACATCAAACCATGGCAGTGCCCAGACCACCTGCGATTCCTCAACGGGTATCCGCACGAATGCATGAATCGCCGGGACGTCGTCGAGGCGTTCCGGGAGGCGTTGATTGAAGCTCAGGTACGTTCGTTGTTCACGTTTCCGCATCTACCAGACCCACTTATCCGACCGATAGGCCTTTCTCGCCACCGATAACCGTTCGCGAATGTTGCCCAATATGACAGTGTCGGACTTTTACTACGACGACCAGCAACCCGTGGTACCAGCTCCAGTTCCATCGATACTGTCCAGTACGTGTTGCTGTCAACAGCATGAAAATGTATACTCACAGCCTCTCATAGCGCCGCCGCCACTTCCTATCGCATATCAAGTCCACAGCTCGTCCCATTCTTCTGGAGCCTTGACGGATGATACTGGTCCCGAGCCGTCAAGTCTTGGTCAAAGCGGCAGTTCCATCACTGGTCGACCGGAGAATCTCGCGCCAACTACGTCAGCAACGGTGCCGCCTCAAGAGCAACCTACCATTCCTCTGCGTAGAACCCGGGCCAGAACTCAGCTTGATCGAGGTAGATGCGCCCTACCCATTCGTAGCTGACTCCCCTTTAGACTCAAGTGCATCACAAGACAAGGGAGTTCCAGGTCTGCCGCCGGCCCCAGACGCAGCAAAACAGCTGCGATCCCCTCAAGACACGATGAAGCCGACCCGCCAGTCTGCAAAAGCCAAGACACCGCCCACTAAACCCCCCAAACAAGTGGACGGGCGGTCCACTCGGAAACCCAAGCTGCCGCTCCCGCCCTCCCAAGAAGTCAAGCGTCCTGCTGCCGCTGCTGCAAAGAAGACAGGTACGACGTATCCTCAATATATGATGTATTCTCACGCTGGGAATAGCCGCTCGACCGAAAGGGCCTAAGAAGGGCAACAACCCAGCAATCTCTCCCCCAAGTAGTCGAGTGCCCGTTGAATCATCCATGCTTGGTCGAGTAGATGTTGGCCCCCATAAAGCCATCTCAACGTCACGTTCAACTACTACTCCACCAAGGGCCTACGAAAAGCAAACTGGCATGCTCACACTTCGTCATGATGGCTTGGATAACGCACCTACAGGTACGACCGTTGATAATTGGCTTGTTTTTCACTGGATCACACGAGACCATAGTGCCCCAATTGTACCCAAACCACCTCATGACGTTGGCCGAGGTGAGCAGCAGTCCCCCCGTGGACATTCCCAACAATTCGATCGTGTGGGCGCATGTCCACGGCATGTCGTGGTGGCCCGCGATCGTTCTCGATCCATTCCAAGTCAAGCCGGTGCTGCACTTCCTTGGTATGACGACTCGAGTACAAGTGTTTGAGCATCACATGACATTTTCGTAGGCCATGCCCACGACGCGCCGCTCAAGAAGGCGAGAAAGCAACCAAAGGACGTTCGCCTTGTGTTTGTGTTTGGCCGATACGTATTGTACGCTTGGATGTGTATCAACATGACCCAATTCATTCACCACGTCACTATGGTTCTATATATATTCCTTGTAGTTGTTCGTTGAAAAAGAAAATGAAGCGTTGGCAGTGCCCTGAACACGACACGTTCCTCCAAGGCCCGACCTCTCTCTTTACCGCCCATCCATTCCTTGCCGACGTGTTCGCCGACGGGGTCCACCAAGCACAGGTGTGTTTGCTCCATCTTGTGACTAGTTGATCATGGGGGGGGGTAGAACTTTCTCGGTGCGCAAACACTCAATCAATACATTCCGTACGTGCACGCGTCCGACCTTTCATCGACGACTGTGCTCCCGCCGCCCCAAGTGCAGTTCAATGCGGTGGCGTGGGCAAAGCGAGACGAAGTGTGGTGGCCCGTGTTCCTCTGCGACCCGCGGACCCTTCGCTCGAACTTGTTTCACTTGGGTAATAATAAATACCCCTCTCACGAGTTGTTGAGGAGTTTTTGATATCTTAACCATGTATCGTGTAGGCACGGGCGAGTTGCCGCACTGCCGCGTGGCCACGGGCCTTCCATTCCACAACCGCATTGCGTACTACTTTGGAATGCACGACTTGTACGACTACTACTACTAACGGCGACGAGGTTGTGACCAGTGTTTGTAGCGGACTCTACGCGGACGACAGCCTGCTCAAGCGGTGGTTTTGTTCAGAGCATGTGTCGTTTATCAAAGGGCACGTTGACGCCAGTGTCACAGATCGCTTGAAAGACGCCCTCAAGCAAGTCCAGGTACGAAATCAACGGGAAACAAAATGGTGCTTAATGGCAACACATATATATGTGTAGGAGTTTTTTGTGGCCGAAGAAGGGCACCGGACCATGCTGTGCAAGCTCGTGGGAGCTAGTGATGACGTGTCGTCGCCGTCGCCGCCGCCGCAACTGCATTCGTTTTTGGATGGCGCGACGGTGGTACCTGCGTCCCATCAAGTTGTGCTGGCACTGTATCGACCGTCTTCGAATCCTACGCGAAAGGCCATGCTGGACGACGGGGCAGCGGACAAAGCGCCGTATGATGTGCTGACGATGCACACTACGAGGTTCAAGCCTACCGACTTGGACGCGTTGAATCAAATCATGAACGCACCAACTCCTCAAAGACCAGCCGACGAGAAGCACGGCTTGACGCCCATGTTGCCATTTCTGAGTGACCAAGTGGATGCCACGGAGGTCCAAGTCTCCAACGAACACATTGACGCGGTGGTCGTCCAGGTCCTCCACAACCTCGTGGATGCCATCGCGCAGTATCACGCCGCCACGAGTACGTTGGGCCTAGTTATTTTACCATGTGGTGACGTGCATGTGCTGTCATAGACGACATACGTGAAGCGATCGAGGAGGTTGACACACCTACGCCTTTGGTCCAAACTGACGAGACCCATGAAGCCACACTACAAGAGGATTCGGACGCCAACGACATGCAAGAGCCCGACGAGTCCCATCGGTCCATCCAGTACGCCATGGACGACATTGTGGCGTCAATCGAAGCTATTCAATGCGAGGATCAAGGTAGTAGTTCTAGTTGGCCTTCTGCTGATTTGTTGACTTTGTAACAGAAATAGAAGCCATGCGCAGTGCTGCCAAGACCGACGATGGAGCCGTGTTAGTAGAAGAAGGCGACTGGTGTGTGGACATGAACTCGGTGGCGTGGGGGCGCAAGTCAGAGCATCACCCGTGGTGGCCAGTGTACAGCTGCGACCCCCGGCGTCTTCGCTCCCATTTGCATTACATGGGTAGATGATACTTCTACAACGAAGGTGGTCATGTGCTCTATCGTAGGCGTTCGACACCGAGGACTGTTGCTCCAAGCTCGACGTCATGCAGCCACGCTACGTCTGGTGTACTATTTCGGACGGCATACTTTGTAAGCTGTACATTTGTGACACTGCTTGCTGGGTATTGCCACTGTGATTAATCATCTCTATTTTATAGCGGTGTCACAGCGTTGCCGCTAAAACTATGGAACTCCCGCGACCATTCGCATTGTATTGCACGGTTCCCTGGGAAAGATCACGCGGTGGACATCTTTGCCGACGCGCTGCACGAGGCCGAGGTAAACAAAAAGCCTAGTGATGGATGTGTGACACTCTCCACCCCTATATAGGCGTGTCACACGTCCAACGAAGCGGTGCCGTTCGTCACCCCCTGGGATGTGAACCTCTCGAGGATACCCCCCACCGCCCCTCCCCCTGCGGTGGTTTGTTCTTCGGTGGCGTGGTCCTTCGAGTCTGGATCGACGTGGTGGCCAGTGTATTTATGCGACCCCGACGCCATCGGCCCTGCGTTCTGCTTGGGTACATACATTCCATCACAACGTGCATCGACGCTAATTGAAACGAATTGCAGGCACGGAGCAAGACGACCGATTGCTGCGGATAGCAACGTACCTGCCCGAGTACTACGTCCTCGTGTACTTCTTTGGAACCCGTCGATTGTGCGTGTTGTATGATATATGATTGGAAGGTTTCTTCACATTACGGTGTAGTGGGTTGCGGCAACGACTAGCGCTGACAAATGGGTGGTTGGGTTTTAACCACCAGACATGTATCGACTCCATCTCGACAACGGACGATGTTATGGCCACAAAAGCGTTGGCTGAAGCGGAGGTACATCATGTTTCACTGTACGTTATAAGCAAGAGCTGACCTTCCAGCAGGACTTTGCACGTGAACTTCGTACCGATCTTCACAAGTTGCCGTTTGAGCTGGTCCCGACGGCGGTGTCATCTGTCGAGCAAGCTCTTGTCCCGCCACACCCAGCAGCTCCACCCATTGGTGGCATCCACGAGGCCCAGCCATCGCATTTAGAGAGTAGGGTGGTTTGATGGTCCTTTGGTTGGTTTTGAACGTCCTCCGATGTTAGGTTATTGGCGTGCAGAACAACAAGAAGACACAAAAGACGAACGCCGGGCGTTCGAGTTGAGAACGCATCGGGACAACGTGTCTTCGTTTTTCAAACGTAAGCATGCACGCGATGGAAGAGTTCTATATTTACATATTTACATATATATATTATATATATATATATATAAGGATATATATATATGTTTTGTGGTAGATTTGATGCGCCAAGACGAGGACGGGTCGAGCAGCTCGTCGGATTCATCCCGTTTCGAAGACGACTCGGACGACGAAGAACCCGAGAGCTGCGACACTGAGTGGGAGCACAGCGACCACGACTCCCCACGACGAAGTAGCGCCTCTGTCGCATACGCCAAGGAAACCAAAGGCTTTGGACGGTCCAAGTCGCCCAGTTGGTTTGCAGAAAAACACCCTTCGTACCCCCGCACCCAAGGCATCACGACCACTTCGTCCCCGGATCCCCCCGCTTCTCGGTCTCGAACGCGCGGCCCTGTCACGTCCGTGGGGATTCCCCGCACGGCGCATGTGTGGAAGCATTTCGTTTGGGAAGAACACATGGGCAAGTACTACAACTACAAACTCATCGAGTGTCGGTACTGTCGGCAAGCGTACGCCGATCGAGGCGACCGGGACGTGCCGGTTCCGGAACGCGTCGTCAGCCAGATTCCGAAAATGAAGCTGCATCTGCTTCAATGCGCGCACTGCCAACTCACCGAGGACGATCTGGAGCCCCTACAAAAACAGGGGAAACATCGTGCGACTGTCGTCAAAGCAGCCCCCTCGCGGCCCCCCGAAGACCCCCGGCCTGGTCGAGCTCTCGGACGGACTCTTGCAGTGGACGACGATGTAGACGAAGACCAATCGACGATCTCTGCCACTCGAGAGGAAGGGGCCGCAGCAGCGACGATCGAACCTGTCGCCCCGCAAGGTCCGCTTCTGGTTGCTTCAACGGCGGATGGTGTCGACATCCCCAGTGTTGAGGTGCGAGATCCTGTCAAACGTAATACAGTAGTAGTAAACGTACGGTGTAGGAGCCTGGGGCCAACGACGACGATGCAGCGTCCAATTCATTTGAGCATCAAGTGTTCGCCCCAGAATCTCCACGTCAACCCGACCCTAGCCCCATCGCAAAAGTCGGCTTGAAGAAGGCAAGTCCTGGGCGAAAGAAGCGGAAGGCTTCCCATGTGATTGTTGTCGAAGACGATTCCGACACGTTGTCGGACGAGTCGGTGGCATCGTATACGGCGCGACACCCTGTCAAGAAACGCAAGGGGGTACCAGCAAAGACTCTGGGACCACGGACGATCACATTGTCGGACGCGGACAAGGCTCGGATGACCAAACAGCGATTCATTTTGCCCGCCCCGCCACAACTTGCATTTGGGCCACATTTGAGCCAAGATGATGCTTTACCTGAGAAGGAAGTGCCCCAACCACCAATCGTGACAGCGTCTCCTGAACACGTGAAACCCCCCGCACCGTCCGTTCCAGTGACCCGAAAAGCAGTGGCTGTGCCCCCAGCCGCCCCAGTTGCAGTGACCCGAAAAGCGGTGGTATCGGTGCCACCAACCCCAGCACCACCTACAAACGTACCAAGTGATGTTCCAGTGACCAAGGTGTCTGCCCTCCACGACACGATTGTGTGGGCGTACTTGAAGGGGTACCCGTGGGTCCCAGCCTATGTACTCAACCCGTTCAAGTTGCGCTCGGAGCTGCATTTATTGGGTATGTCTTGCCATGTCTTTCCTGTTGACAATGTCACGCGATTGTAGGGAACGGGCACGAGAGGACGCTCAAGAAAGCCAAGCAAAAACCGGGCGACTATTGCATCATTTATTACTTTGGAACGCACAACTTGTACGGCGTTGGATTTGATTGGGATGTGTGGTCTAATGGAGGTCGTAGTGGTCTGATCACCACGCCTGCCACGGCGCTGCGCCCCTGGCACTGCGACGAACATGCCAAGTTTCTCAGTGGGTTCCCCAAGGCAGCATGCAAGGGCGACACGGCCGCGGAGCTCGTGGATGCGATTGCAGAGGCAGTGGTATCGTATTTCAGCATTCCCATTCCGCAAAAATATCATTTGATGATGGCTAGTGCTTTGAGGCCGCGGACAAGACGACACGGCTGTTGCCGTACATGGTGGCGTCCGACACCGATCCGACTCTCCCGCCTCCGGAGGTCCTTCCCGTTCCTGTGGATTCGATGGCGTGGGCAATCTCTCAGGGGTTCCCGTGGATGCCAGTCTACGTGTGTGATACGTCCAAGCTGCGTGCAAACTTGCATTTCCTGGGTATATAAGGCACTAGCCGTCGTCGTGGTCTTATATTCCCTTCCAACTCGATAGGCGACGATCACTGCGAGTACCTTGACGAAGCCAAGGCGTCTCCCAATACGCGCTTGGTGTACTACTTCGGCTCGCATTGCTTGTATGTCGTTTGCAATCTACTAGGTACTGGGGAACCACGCTGACATGTTGTTGTCGTAGTGGCACGTACAAAATGGATGGTTCCCTGAAACCGTGGAACTGCCCCGACCACGACTCGTACCTGACGGGGCAGTCGAGCTCTGTGCTGTACATCAAACCAGATATTTTGGCAGAATTTCAAGTCGCGATGGCGGAAGTGGAGGTACATCCTCTTTATAACCCTTTGGACAACTAACACAGGATGTGTCGTCAGGAGTACTTATCGGTGGACGCTGCCAGTCGCGTGTTGCCGGAGATGCATCCTTCCGACATGAACCCCCTGTTGGATCCTCCTTCCGACAGTGAAAGTGGCGGCGCTGATTCCGACGCCACCGTGTCAGATGTAGAAGACATCGTGCATGTCCAACCCAAGCGGAAAGAGAGTAGTATTGCAGACACGCCCAAGCAGCAAATCACTCCATCAAAAAAGGAATCTCCTGCTCAACCAAAGCCAAGCGAAGACTTGGCCGACGACATTATCGTTATTGACAGCAGTGATTCCGAGAACGACAGGGACGACAACAGTGCCTCATCAGAAGACGAACCCGACAGCTCGGTACATAGTACGTCTTCGATGAGTGACGTGGAAGATGGCGACTGCTCGACGGTCGCTACTGCCGCAGCCGACACGAAAAAGAATGCACACACTCGTGTGGATGCGATTGCAAGGTCCCGTAGCCTCGAGAACGACGTTGAAGACGAGGAGCAAAGTCAAGTTGAAGACAGTGAGGTGTCGAATGACGACGGGTTGGCTCCCGTTAACTCTGGTGAGGAGTTTGACAAGGACGACGAAGCTGCGTCGGTGCGTAGTGATGACGACGAGGACGGCGGCGGCGGCAGTTGGGAGGGTTCCCAGGGACAAGCGCCGGACAACCAAGATGAGCTGGAGGCCCTGGAGGACCTGGAGGATGCAGAGTACTTTACCAACGACGACGACCCAGGCGAAGACGATCCGCCCGATGGCGACGTGGAAGATCAGGACGACGGTCAAAGCGGGGGCGACGAAGACAAACAATCGAGCGAGGATGATGACGCCCAAGAGGAAACGCTCAACGATGTAGTGGAACTGGCCGATGATTCCGACAATGGCCACAATAGCGAGGAGGATGCTGCCGCCGATGCCGACGTGGACGACGACAACCAGTCTCAAGAGGATGACCTTCCTGTCGTCTCTTTGTCCAATCAACGTCGCAAACGCCCCAACAAGATCCATGGCCTGGACAACACAACCCTCATGAAGGGTACTTTCTCATTCTTGTATGGAGGGCAAGTAGTTTTGATCTCTTGATTATTTAGTTAAGCCAAACACCCTACGGAACAGTGCCAGTCCCCCTCCGAGTCAGAGGGAAGAGCTGGAAGCGGACGACGATTCAACGCAAGCGACTGCCAATGCATTGTCGGCTAGAAAGACTCGAAAGTCATCGGCTGACGACACCTTTCGAAGCACTCGACGCCGCCAGTTGATCGTGTTGGACGATTCAGACGACAGCGATGTCGAGCCAGCCAAACCCCCTCGCAGCCATAAAAAGCGAGTGCGCGACGTCCGATCCAGTGACGAGGACAAACCTTCCACGTCGAAAAGTCGAAGTGCATCCAAACGTGACACGGAAGTTCGACGACAATCTGGTAGAACTAGATAATATAAATAGTTCAGAAATGTTTCAAATAGTGTATCCCTCCAGCCTTATTCTAAGTGGGAAGTTTGCCATGTGCCGAGTCGGACCTTAGTGACTTGACCAGGTATTAATACTATTAATAACAGTAAAACCGGAGGATTAGCATTTTCACACGTGTATTAAGTATTTGAGGGTTTTTGTTGTTGATAATTTACACGTGGGGCATTCTGTAGGTGGCTTTTAGGAAATATATCTTGCTAACAGTCCGCGAGACCATCGAGGACGCTTTTTGGGTTTTGATTTGAGTTTCTTTGAATAAATGTATGAAATCTTGTATTCATTGTGCAGAATTTTGATGCGAATCCGACAATTATACTCTCACGCTTTGAATCATCCATCCACGCGTGTTCTGGTCAAAAGCATTTCACTTTGCTCCAAAACATATCCTCAAAATACATAATCCTGTGTAATTTAGTTATCCGGACACGTTATCTATTAAACGATATACATTTGACTAGTATTATTCAAATATCGCTCAAAATAAAACCTGTTAAACTGTAAATACCTGACACAAATGCAAATCATCCTCTCAAAACTAATTTCTACAAGTACTGTAGTCCACGTGTGAAATATATAAAATCCATACCCCCGCATGTTTTCACAACCAATTTCCTATTGTACGACTTATATTTAAAATTCTACTCATGCAAACATCTACATACATACTAGTATGTCGATGGAACCACTACATACTGGTTGTACCGCCGACATCGAAACCGACTTGACTCAAATCTTCATAACATTCGAACCAACCGTCAATACCCAAGGTGCAGCTTTCGGTCGCGCAAGATTTGGGCTCGCCGATCGGGGTCTGAAATTGGTTTCGGAAGGCTGGGGACGGGCTGCGTTGCCACGAGGTCGTCGTAGATGGTGGAGAGGTAGGCGTACTGGCGGTCAGGACCAAACCGATGCGACTCCTTGGACCCAGGAAGGTACCCCCAACGCGCGGCTTCTCCTTGTTCGTGCGCTCGCATGTCGGATCGAGTCGGCAGCGGCAGTGCTTTGGTCCAATACAGCGACAACAACGTGGCCTGGTACTCGAAGACCGGAAATGGCCAAATGCGGTGGTTCACGCCAAGGATCGCCAACGTTGGGTTTGGAATGTACATCATTTCCCGATACAAATTGTACACGGCAGCACCTGTGGTATCCACGAGTTGGGTGCTCTCTGAAGACTCGCCAAGTTGCATGAACGGAAAGGTAAAGTCGAACCCCGTGGCCCAGATGATCGTGTGCACATGCGACACGGTCGATCCGTCTTCAAATTGCACTAGTCCGTCCGGTCCAGTGCGACGAAGGGCCCCTTTGGCCACAATCTCGGCCAACGACCCATCCTTCCGCGTTGGACGCAGCTGGTCCACCTACGTGTGCATGGTCATGTTGGAGTTGGGAATAGTTCGTGGCGATGTACCGTTTCGCCCAAGTCCCCGGCGCTCGAGTCGTCCCGCATGCTGATGTACACTCGTTCGGCTTGGGGGGCGATTTCCCGAGCAATGTCAAAGGCCGATGTACCCGCGCCGACAAGGACGACGACTTTCCCATGGAATGCATCGGGCCGACGGTACTGTCTCGAGTGAAAGCTCGCGATGGACGGATCGATGTCAAGGTGAAGCGGGAAATGTGGCAAGCGAAAGTGACCGTTGGCAAGGATAACCTTGTCAGCCTCGTGCTGGGTTCCATCGCTGAGGCGCAGGAGCCACACCCCGTCGTTGAACGAACATCCTTCGACGGTCGTGTTGAGTCGAATGAAGCGACGGAGGTTGAACCGATCGGCAAATGCCACGAGGTACTTGTGGACCACGGAGTGATGCGGGAACTGGTCCGTGCCGTCGGGGAAATCCATGGACGGGTACTGCATTTGCTCGGGCGGGAGGTTCGTCCGAAGATTCGCGTACACGGCGCTGGCAAACCACGACTCGCTGGACTCGGAGTACAACCACGTGCCACCAATGTCCTCCTGAGAATCGAATGCAACTAAGTCGTCTGCACCTACCACATCTTGAAACACCTTCAGCGCCGCCAGGCCCGCCGGCCCCGCCCCAATCACAGCAACCCGCATGACGATTTCGAAAGTACGACGCCGTCAAGAGGTCCTAACTCGCACCTCGGAATGACTAATTAAGGTAATTAATTATTTTGGCAATACAAACAACACCAGGTAAAAGTACACTTGTTCTGGCCTCGTTTCCCCACAAAAGGAATCGATTTGACATTCGGTGAAGTGCACGATTGGGACTCACTCCTTACCAAGGCACCGCCTGCTACGCTGCGGTGCGGATGGTCTGCCGTCGCTCGCTACTCTAAGGCTTGGTCGTTGTTGGAAAAACAAATTTAAGCTTGGAACTCGAACCCGGTTGCTACATACAGTAGTAGTACTACGTAGTATTGTGGATTCGATACGAATTTCCAGCACTAAAAAATGAACAAACCCTCCGGATAGTGCAAGAGTTTCTATTCTATATCCGTAACTTCGAATAGAAATAGAAATACTATTACTATTCATACTTCGAAGTAGTAAGTAATACGTACTAGGTAGTACTGAAGTATGGTGCAAGTCTACAGATCGGCCATCCTCAGGAGGAGACGTTTTACAATATTAATATCTGAAGCATATTGCTGACCAAGTCATTCAAGGTATGTTTCTGATACCACCTAGTATACCGAGTAGTGGATATTGTCGTAGGAGTTGATTTGAACCGCTTGTATCAAAACGCTCACCACCTCGACCACAGACCCGAAAACATGGACATTTATGCGAAATATATTGTTCTCGTCACGAAATATATTGGATGTTTGCGAATCTGAGCAAATCACGAAATATACTGGCAGTCCACGAAATACGTGTACTACGTAGTATAATGAGTGATTTCGACGTTCCCACGAAACTAAATGCCGATGTCGCGAAATATAATGAAGCTCCACGAAGTTAAATGGGATTGCACGAAATATACCAGATATTTTTGGAAATTAACCGCAAAAGGGGGTACATTATTAATATTACGTACTGTGGCAAAACGAATCAAATTCATCAGCCAATCACAGTTTCAGAACATTTAGCCCAATCAGAGTCACGAAGCGCACAACAGAATATCGGCAACCATCGTTGCCATGGACCTTGGTTGGGCGCGAAGGCCAAATCACCTGTGGTGGCCCGTGTATATCTGCCAGACTAAGATGTTTCGCAAAGAAGATCTTCACTATCTGCGTACGTACGACGCCATGTGATGAGGTAGAACTAAGCTTGGGGTGCTCCAGAGAACGAGCACAAGTCAGCCATGGAAGTGGCTGTGAAATCCAAGAGCGTCCTGGTGTACTACTTGGGGCAATACACATTGTACGTGGGTCATTCTTGATTGTCGTTGTCATCTGGGCGTAGTGCGTCAAGGACGAAAGGGGATGTCAAGCAATGGGCTTGTCCGGAACACAACACCTTTAGTGGACACGAGACCATCACGGATGCCGAGATGTTATTACAATTCACGACAGCCATGACCGAAGCCAAGGTACGGACAAGACAAGAGCTATGCACGGCGACGACAGCAACCATTGTTAGGTTTATGTCGACACAGGCATCCTCCCCTTCTTGGCGCCGTCCGACGTAAATCAGGCCTTGAAACCTCCAGCGTGGCCCCAGGATATCGCCCCAGGAACGATCACATGGTTGAAGCACGCAACAAAGTCATGGACTCCAGCCTATGTGTTGGATCCTACGCATTTGAGTGCCAAGCGCGGCGTAGCCAGTACGTGCTTCATACAGCAGAGTGTTGCCGCCACCTGTTTGCATAGGTTCACACGTGAAGGATCAGCTGCGGCTGGCCAAGAAGAACCCACACAAGTACTACCTGGTCTACAAGTTCGGAGAATGCAACATGTACGCCCGACCATTTCGATGGACAATTGAATCGTACTCACGAGTTGTTTCAGCATGCTATGGAAGCGCGAAAATGCCAAGATGCTGCTGTGGGGCGGCCCTGAACACAGCAAGCTCTTGCTAGGTATCCCGAGAAGGGAAAGCAACACGTTCCTTGCAACCGCCATGCAAAGACTCGAGGTACCGATATTATTTATATGTATCGAATGCATATCAAATGTGCTGTTGGTAGAGTTTTCTAGCGGCGAAACAAAACCAGAAAAAGCTAGCTGTGAATAATGCATACACAGTCAAGGTCTCGTGGCTTCGATTGCCGTCCAGCCAAATCGATCCCAACCAAATCCAAGACAACGACGACGACGACGTTAGTACCGAGGACGAAGCCGAGAATGACACGATGGCAAGCAGTGGTAAGGACATGTCGACTCTTTCTGTGCGAAAGCGCAAAGCTGTCGAGGGTAAGAGCATATATAAGACCTTAAACAAGCAATCGGTCACTGATTCACTGTAGAAGCACCACCTGCGATGATCATCTACTCCAAGAAAACCCACTTGGCAACTGTCATGGGCACGTCCAAACGACCTGCAATTAGTCCCCAGCCAAAAACATCGCTTCCCCCTCCAGTTCCGCCGCTTTTCCGCAATGGGGTGGCTTGGGCCCACGTCCGAGGCCAACTGTGGTGGCCAGTGTATATTTGCAACCCACACCTGTGGTCTCCACGTAACCACTTGGTTTTGAAAACGAAAAGTTCCAATATATATGAACTGTCTAGAGCCAGACTCGCCTACCCTGACGTATGACGTGTACTCGTTTGGGTACCACACGATGAGGTTAGTAAGCTGCTGATTGGAGAGGATATATCATGATAGTGGTCGTAGGAGTCGTGCGTTTACATTGGCGCAGCTACGGCCATGGAAGTGTCCTGAAGCACCAAGGCTCCGTGAAACCATCTTCACGGCGCTTGACCAGAGCAAAGTGTCGGACCAAGAAACACTGGGGAACGCCCTCGTGGAAGCCGACGTACGCTACATGCCTTGTCTGGATTCACAGTCAATTGTTTATGTATTTCTTTGTAGAATTATTATGTCGAATACGAGCAGATTCAGGTAACTTGTTGTACGTTTGAACCACTACTCACGTGTAAATTTATTTTTTGCAGAGCTACTCGAACTTGGACATAAACATCAAACGCATAAACCGCAATAACAAGCGTGGCGTGTTTTGAAAGACGATGTTTTCCTATTGAACAATCCATTAATACTAGTACTATTAATATTAATATTAATAGTACTCCACTAGAGCATCGTTAACTGTAAATAATACTACTATTAACACGTAGTAGTAGTCCACAAAGTGCATTCTACTACTACGTACTTCGAAGTCTTATTTAGAGTGTTAGTAACGATATTATTATTTACTACTATTAATAGTACGAAGTAGTATTACAAACACTAGCTAGCACTACGTACTGTAGTACTCAGTTTTAATAACGTACAGTAGTAAGGACCTGTTCCAAGTAGATATTTTTAGCAAATGAAAAATTGGTTCCAAGTATTAATACAGTTTCCTACTACTTTTTTACCTCTGTTTGTGCATTTTTTACACAACTCACTATACCAAAAGTAGAAAAAGAGGACCTTGACGTCTTTTTCTAATTAGTGCAAAAAAACGAGGTAAATCGATTTTGATTGGCTCATGCTATTTCTGAAAACTACGTGGAACTTCCCCTAATAGTGTTTTTTACAGTGGGTAATTCACACCATAAACCTGGGTGTTTATCACATCGACCCCAGTGTTTTAGATCATCCGTGCCGTGATTTAGGATTTCACGTATCGTTACAGAATGCAATTTTAGGTAAGTGGTATGCAACACCCTCACTTTTGCACATTTGAAAAGAGCAAATCGAAGTTATATCTGCTATTCTTTGGAGCAAATTGCACAATTCATTGGTCGTCATGAACAACTTTTGATCGCAGATGACACACATCGAGGACAAGCGCCGGAGAGCAACGTTACAGCGATATACTATTATGTGCCAATCGTCGAAAACCACGCCATATTCTTGTATCGTCGCTTATTACATGTCATCTGCATGTCCTACGTGATATAAATAACAGCCAAGGGGTTTTGGATCCTTCAGCATCACATTTAATTATTGTAGCTCAGAGTTATTATACGTATATATTTGGCATCTATAAAACCCCAGGGAATTAGCTAAAACACCAGGTATTTACAGTAAATCAAACTTTTAACACTGTTACTATTAATATTAATATTACTACAGGAGATGTACAGTACAGCAAGCTTACCACTCTTTTAGCCACATAAAGCCGACGCCAAAACAAGTGCAAAGAAACAATGCTAAGTTATTAAGAGGATTACTGTACGTAGTAATATTAATAATACCACGTAGTATGAATACTAACTAATGCTGCGCGTAATTACATTCTAGCACCAAATCGGTAGACAATCGATCGACCAATCAAAACCCAACCCAGTACACTAACCAAGTGGCCAATCAAATGCACTCTTCGACCAATTCAACATCGAATTAGTGTGACATCGGGTGATTTGTACATAACGTAAAAAACCAATTTAAGATAACTTACTACCTCTGTCCAATAATAAGTGTTCGTATTTCACAAACCCAATTTCCAAGAAAGAATGTTCGTTTTTTATATTTGGATTTTTACAAACCACAAGTTACTCTCTTATTCAGACAATTGAACCAAGCCAAGCGCAGCGACAATGTCGTCATGAACCTCGGTGCCGTTGTATATGGTCAATGCCTCTATCTGTGTGCATATTACACCCATTTCCATACTCTCTTGAACCTCCTGGTCTAGTTTCTGCAT